CATCATGGCTACGTCATCACTTCTCACTTTCTGCTTCAGGGAAAAAAGCTCTATGAGCTAGCCCTTCTCTTTTAAGTCCTGTGCACGTGGTATATATTATGCAAAAGGACTTGACCGTTTTTCTGAAATAAAACGTCAAGAGACAAATTTCGCAAAATAATGAGATTCTTATGCTTTACGTATAAAATCAACCAGATCAAAGCATCTAGAGACAGACAAATTTGCCAATATTTGGAATTGTTTCATTGAAAATTGCCAAACTAACTATACATCTGGTCCTAATATAACTGTAGATGAACAGTTATTTTCTACAAAAGTTAGGTGTAGGTTTACTCAATACATGCCAAACAAACCAGATAAATTTGGAATCAAGTTTTGGTTAGCTCGATGTTGACTGAAAATATCTAATAAATGGATTCCTGTATCTTGGAAAAGATAACCAAAGTCCATCCAACTTTGCTCTTTCTGAACATGTAGTACTGCGACTATTGCCCATAAGAAAACAAAGGTAGAAATGTCACTGCAGGTAACTTTTTCACAATACTGAAGCTTGCAGAAGCATTGAGATACAAAACCACCAGCCTGTAAAATGCTCAAGAAGAGAAATACAGTACAAAATCTGAAATCCGGATGTCCATTATCCGGAATGATCTAAAATCAGGATCTCAAAATTACCAACGTTTTCTCATAGGCTTTATGCATGCACATTAGATCCCCCGCCTCCGTGCATAATTAAACATCTGGAAAGCCCAGATTCTTAATTTCACTTCGACACTAAATAAAATACCTTGTTATTGAAGAAAAAACCATTTTAGCATAAATTCGTACAATCAGTAATTTGGCTCCGTTGCTGCGTATTTGCTTCGCACGCATCTCAAACCGAAACATTCCACATAGATACATTGTTGCTGACGCCAACCTGTATCATTATTTATTATACTTTCCTTTCATTACCGCATGTTTATCAAAACATGACAACTTCAGTAATGACTCATGTAGTGATACCTAAATAATTTTTTTATGTTAGTATTTGATTAATAAAGGAGTGTGGTAACCTTTTATATTGACATTACGCTTGGCGATATTTGCAGATTTCAGTTGCACTAAAAATTGTTGACAAGGAAAAATTTCCAAAAATTTCTTTTCATATGCTAAAAATAAATTTTGTTGATAATACTCATAGACCCAAAGATTACATTTAGATCATAAATACTTCATTATTTCATAAATCTTGATTTCATATATTTAATTTTATAATTTCTACATGCCATCTTACTAGATTTAAACTGATGATCTATAATCTGGAAAAATCCAAAATCGCCGAAGTCCCGATTTTGGACTTTGTACTGTACCAGTCTCTGTGAAAATGTCAAACTCTGCATTGTATGCAACTGCAGTACTAACACATAAAGGCATCAGTCTAACTGTTTATCAAGGGAAAAGGATAAAAACGTTTTGTTGCTAAGTAGTCTTCGTCCGACTAGAGAAATTGTAGATAGTAAAAAAAGAAAAAAAAAAAAAAAAAAAAAAAAAAAAAGAAAACTGATACAATTGCTTACTACAATGCAACTAAATTCGATGTGGACGTGATCGACCAAATGGCAAGGAAGTATACTGGCACTGCTACTTCACGTAGGTGGCCGGTGCAAGTTTTTTATAATATTTTATATCTTGCTGTTATCAATACCTAGGTTTTATACAAAGCCGTATCTAAAAAATCTATAAGTAGGCGGCAATTCATTCAAGAATTAGTTGAAGAACTGAGAGAAGAATGAACTAGGAAAAGTTTGTTCCTTCCCGACACAAAAAGGTGACATATGGGTGTATAGCAACCACTGAAAACGGCAGACAAGTTAATCATAAATGAGTCCGTTGCCACAGTTTAAAATGTGAAAATAAAACCCAAGATACTTGTTCAAAATGCAAAGCTCCCATTTGTGGTAAATGTACAAAACTTATTACTAAATTTTGTGCACAATGCATACAATAAATTAGATTAAAAAAAAAAAAAAATCTGGAAAACTAGTAACTGGTAAAATTTTTAATTTTTTCTCTACAATTATGTCTAAACTTATTTAAATGATATACTCTGTTTTTCCATCAAAATTAGAAATATTATGTTTTATTTTGTTTAAAAGAAACGTTGTACTTATACGTTATACTTATGGAAATAAAATTTTAAATAATACAATTTCCTAAAAATTTAGGTAATTTCCACTGATTTATATAAAATATTTAACGTAAATTCTGAGAATATTGATTGTTACATAAAAATAAAATGTTTTAGTTAACTAAAGTAATCCCTTGTGTATATTTTTAGGTGTTTTCTATCTAGGGTCAAATTGACCTGCACTGTGGTTCTATCTATATCGAAAGTCCTGCGGTTCTAGTGTTAAAAGTTAATTTTTCATACAGCTTTAACTGATGAAGTGATTCCAGCCAAATGGAAAATCAACACCTGAAATCTAGTTTTCTGCTTTGCTAATGCCACTTCTATGATGATGGATGTTGCCATGCAGCAAGATCCTTTTTTGCTCTCTAATGATAATTGCAGTTTTGCAGGTTTCTAGAGCGTGGTACCAATTTCATGACAGTACACTCTGTTGTAACAGGATTTTTCATACAGCTTTAAATGATGAAGCCAAATGGAAACTCAATACATGAAGTCTAGTTGGTTCTGCTTTGCTAATTGCCACTTCTATGAATATGGTTGTTGTCATATAGCAAGATGATCCTTTTTTTGCTCTCTAGTGGTGGTTGTAGTTTTGTAGGTTTCTAGGGTATGGTATCAATTTCATGACTTAATTTATTTATATTTTTAAGATGAAAAAAGTCCATCAATGAGTTGCCAGCTCCCTTATACAAGTAGAATTTTATTTTGTTAATATGATTTAATAAGGCAAAAACAATGCTGCTACTTGAATAAAGATGCTGGTTCCTTTATGAAGTTTCAAAAATAATCTTCTCTACATGTAGAAGGTTTCAATAGCTAGCTGGTATCTATCTGAGGTCTCAATATCTAGGTTGTATCTAATTCTTAGGTGGTTCTTCATTATCAATCCACTTTGCTGAATGTCAGAATTATTATACAGAACCCATTTTGCATTGCATATTGCTATGTGATCCAAAAGTAGAGCTGTGGCATTCTTGCAATCAATGTGGAATAACCTCCAGATGTCACTGTTTGAGAATCTCAGGAAGTTCAAAATCCAGTGGCTGAACTCTTTATCCTTTCTAGTAGGCACTTCCTGTTTGGCATGAAGTCCTCCCTCAACAATTACCTTTAACTGCTTCATATTGACAAAAAATAATAATCATCATCTTCATTTGCAAAGTCTTTTGAAGAACGCAATGCAACTTCTTGAAGTACCACTGCACTCTGTGTTTCTTGAAAGTAAACTTTATGAATGCCGTGTTAATGCTATATGGTTATACCTGGGGCACTGTGACCCAACAAGAATATAATTATATTCTTGCATTGGCTTACTTTGCATTCTGGAGAACATAGCCAGTACTTTCACAAGTTGTCATTATATTAAATTTGTTTCTACCAGCTTCATGCAGAATTTAGAACCCTACCTTAAGCCCTTACCAGTATCACCTGAATCCAGTATTGATCCTGTAATCCAGCAACATAATTGTGACACAATGGGAATGCTCAAAATATTTCAGTCAGTGTTTCATCATTCAGGGGAAAATTAGTGTTTTTTTTTTTTTTTTTTTTTTTTTTTTTTTTTCCCATGAAGCTCAAACATGTGAAGTTTTAATCATTCTATTGATTATTGTCCATGTCAAACATATAGTACATCATTCCATGGCATGGTAAAGCAGAGAGAGAAGGCAAGGCTGCAAACAAAGTTGAGCCTTCACCATAAATAAGTAATGATGCACAGAACTCACAGATAGGAACACAGAGCCTCCTAAATCCCAAATCAAAATTTTGACTAAAGGTGCCCCCCCAATCTAATCAGCTGCTAAAAATAACAATATCAATGTTACCTCTTAGCTTTCCATTTTAATGTCAAAAAGTGGGAAGCACAGGATGGACAAACATAATAAAAATGAAGCTTCTTCTGTTCTAGCTTTCTAAATAAAACATTATATACCTGGCCATAATAGCAGAAATATTTGAATTACACAAAAAATATAATTAAGTGTCCAGAGGTACTCAACAAAATAACAGAAAAACACATATTTTCTTAATATGTCTTTATCTCCAACAAACATGGGAAAATATTTAATTTACAATAAACAGGGACTGTAAATGAATTAAAATGTCTAAATTTAATATTAAAATAATGTTTTGCAAAATTTGCTCTTCTGTGCACATGAATGCATATATATTACAGCAATATAAATGTATAACGGCCATATTTAAAACACGTCTGCAAAACACGCACTAAAATACTTCATGAAGAGTCCTTAAACATAAACTAGTGTTAACTGTTCAAGTTCTCCTTTTCTTTTCTGGCAGCTTATCAGTTTTACAAAAAACAAAAATATTTCTCATTTAAAAGATGTAGGCAACATATAGGATTCTTTTTTAAAAAATTATAATAAGCAAATCATACAACTTCAACCTGTCATTCATAACTATTATTATTTTAAATAAAATAACAAAAATTTTCAGTTTTTTTAAATCAACATCCACATTAAATGATCCCCAGCTCCTAAAACAATAACACTTCTCTATTAAATATAAAAATTAAAAATCTTAAACATTCTATGTTACTGCAAGCAGAAAATAGAAATCTTCATGATTACTATGGAACTGAGATATAGACTAAATATTTACTATAAATCAAGTATAGTAATTTTTGTATTAATAACAAAGCAGTTTCATCAACTAATTGTTTGCACTTTACTGAAAAGAGAGAAAAAAAATAATTTTCTTATGAACTTAATTACCCTGCAAACAAATCTTTCTTATTTTAATAACTAATATATATATATATATATATATATATATATATATTTATTTATTTATATTTTATATACAGACAAGTTTGAAACCGCAGATGCTGAACTATGTGATGCAAAATCTCAAAGTACAGGAACTGGATTATGAGAATATCACCAAAGAAAAAAGAAACGACAGGAAAAACCAGTATTCTGTTTTTGTATCAGTCTATGAACGGAAAAATGAAAACTTGCAATTTTTTGTAAATATTAAGTCAATAATAAAATGCAGCATTTATCTTTATCTGATTTAATGACTTCCTTATAAATTAAGAAATGGCTCAAATATTATACATATATTCTATATGACAAATACGAATACCACAGCATCACACTGCTGGCTTTAATTAAATAAGAGCTAGACGGATATCTCATAGTTCATTTCATAAAGACTCTTTCTATCATCCTGCTCTATACTTGTGGGCGGTTGCTTATTTGGCGGTAAGCATTGCCTTGAATGAGGATCTGTTTTAGGTCCCCCTTTATCATAAGTGTCAGTCAATTCTAAAGCTTTCACAAAAGAAACAGGCCTTTTAGCATGAGGCTTCACAGGTGAAGCCTCAGGAGGTGGGGTTTTATGGCCTGCTGCTCGCCTATTTTGAGGCGAAGCACCCGTCCGACGAGAAGAACAGCCACTACTGGAGCGAAATCCATGCACTGTTTGTGTTTCATGTGATAGACGACGAACACCTTCCCCCCAAGAACGTCCAGAATCAGCTAATTCTTGAATATTATCAGCTGTCTGATTAGCTCGAGCTTCATAATTACCATTGGCTTTATCAGCTGCTGCTCGAGCCAATTCACTTTCAGAGGCAAACTTGCGGTTTGGACTGATACTGCGTGTATTTGATCTGGCTGTTCTGCCTGTTACATGGTAACCATAATAATGTGGAGTTGGGGGTCCTCTTCGAGATCCTGGATGACGCTTAACAGCTGCTGGAGATAATCCTGGTGTCAAAGACGCAGGTGAACCAGGGCTAGATCGGCGCGAGGGCGACTGCTGACGTGTCCTGTTGCCCTCTGCTCCAACAACAGGGCTAGTGAGGCTTCGAGGGGGTGTTCGAGTAGACCTTGGACTATTGACAACAGCCCATGGTGGCAGCCCTTCTGGAGAACGGGGCATAGAGTGTCCACTACGATCTTCACTCCCAATTAATGCACGAGGTGCTCTAGGTGTAGGTGGGCCTGCACTCCCATAGGGTGACCATGGCTTACCTTGTTGAAGAACAGATACTGTACGTGTATTATCAGTTTGAGAAAAAATTAGTCTTTGATCCATGTCTTGGGATTGGAGGTGATGGCTCACAATCTTGGGACTGGCTCTGATTACTATCAAAGGTATCTAATATCACATCAACATCTGATAAATCACCTGCACCTTGTGACATCTGTTATAAAGAAAAGGATTCACATAAGAGAAATTAATAATCAAAATTAAATTTAAAGAATTATAAAATACTGCAAAAGAATAATTTTCATGTAAGAATAAAACTCAAAATAGATTACAACACAATACACATGCATCTAATTCAAATATAAAAATCAAACTGTAAGAAACATACAACTACAATGTTGAAATTTAATATGAATTCAAAAAATGAACATAAAGCTAATAATTTATTTTTGGTTATAAAACAGATCAATGCCTTGCAGATTTGTCCACTGTTTCCCTCATAAATATTTCATACAGTTGACCATAAATCTACATAATACTTTACTCATGCGTAGTTTCCAATGATTTATGAAGTAGCACGACTCCAGTGAGCCCCATGTGATTAATGCTTTTACAGACATTCCTTTCATTATATTAAGCATACTAGAATCTAAAATTATCAGTCAATGAGATTCTGGGCTAAATTTTCAGGTATTACTGGCAAAACTATTAAATAATCCTGTTCTCCCATTTTGTAGAATAAATTTTCAAACATTCAGAGGCCAAAAAAAAAAAAAAAAAAAAAAAATGTAATCCTATTGTATAACAAATAAAAGCAAGAATGGTATCATAAACATAGACAGATCAAATAGATAGAAATATCTGATTCTGAAGGCAATCTCACATAGACCTTTCTTCTTCAGACTAAAGCTGAAAAAAAAATCCATTCTCCCTGAAGATGAGAAGTCTATGTCAAACTGCCATTAAAGTTAATAGTTTTATTTAAAATCTCTGTTAATCAAAGATTGCATTTTCACCTAATTTTAGATTGGCAATAATTTTATTTTCAAAATCACAAAGAAAGAGAATGTACAAGAAGATACAAATGGTAACGGCAAAAATGATGATGAATTAAACACAGTTACTAGAGCTTCAATGATGAAAAATACAGGAGATTGTGGTGTAGTAGAGACATGATCATTTTTGTTGCTGTCAAAACACAAAGTTTATATTTTTTCTTGCTATGTGCTTCAGTATACAGTATACCCACTCTGAGAAAGGTTGATGTGAAAAGCCTGAAACAACATAATAAACTTGAATTCTTGTAGAGACGAACATACTTTTGCACCTTATAATTACTCACAAGCAATTAAACTATTCTTCAAAACTGTTTTACTTGTAAAACTGACCTCTTTCGTAATGAAAGTCAAACATTTTCTTTAAAACATTATGATAAGATACTCATGCCCTTTCACTTCTCTTCATAAAAGTAAAAATTTCATTAGACTGTTTCTCAAACAACAAAGCTTTGTTCAACAAAAAGTACTTTCATAAAAGCAAAGCGGAGCAAAACAAACTTTTGTATAGCTCAGGATACTTATAACATATTTTCATGTGGTCTTAAAAAACAGTTTACTCCAACAGCTTATTTATGTCAAATTTTAAAGATTCTCATAAACTGCTTCACAGTTTGTAAAGAATTATTACATTCTAGCACTGGAAGTTCCATGAGTGTCCATGGTCGATTGGAATTTGATTCGAATCCTTTTGAAGGCACAGTTGATTTTTCACGCTTACTCCTTTCCAGAACCTAAATATCCCTATAAAGGAACCCAAACTTAAGTGTAGTGTATGATAATTTGTCATTATTTGGATTTTGTCAACATGGTCTTGTGCTTCTTCCCAGTTGCCCTATAAGTATGGGAGAATATAAGGCTTTATTGCACTTCTCCATGCATATTTTCATGATATAAGTGATTATGATGTCTATCTAGCACTAAATAAATCCCTTGTTCAAATCCCAAGGAGGGCATATTTGATTTTTCACATTCTCTGCCTTAAAAAACAGAAACAGCTTCAAAGTTAAATGAAAAATATGGCTTTTTAGGCAGAAGATACAAGAAAACAGCCTACTTAGCATTTTAAAACTAAATGTGGACCAAGAAGAATGCAGCATACATTTCTCTTCCACATATTTTGAAAACAGCTTTAAAAAAATGACTTTTTATTTGAGTAAAAATGCGACTAAAGGAGACCATAAAAACTTTTGCTTTTCATAATAAAATGTTAATAGTTTGAATTTACAATATAGTTAGTTTTAAGAAGTTGTATTTATTTGTTGTGTTTGTTAATCAATAAAGATTCCCCAATAGCATTTGCTTTGGAAGGACCATTTTCTAACTGATAAAGTTTCAGAATCCCTTCCTAACTTACTTCCTTAAATTTCAAAGAACCTAGTTTTTTAATTATAATAAAGATTGATAACATGATGTTCACAAGCATTTTGCAAATAGCCACAGTATTGAATTTTGGAAGATTGAAATTTTTTTGCATGAGCATGCAAACAGATTTATATTTCGCAGGTATAATATAAATTGTACAAAAACATTTTAAAAAGAAAATCTCAAAAATTTGTCATCCAAAATATATCAAATTATCAAAATAATACTATTGTTAAAAATGATGTACATTATTGCTCTCATATCTACAGGTAATACATATATCCATCATTTAAGAAGGATAATAGCAAACACCACATAAAAGAATATATTTGTGCAACTAATATACATGTAATCAGATTAAACTAATGGATTATGTACAGTAAGAGATTACTGAAACAATTGAAACAATGAAATTAATGATGAGCTTTCCCTTACATCAAATTTCATTAAAAACTGCATTTTTAAATACAGTAATTCAAAATATAAATTATGTATAATAACAAACTAACAAAACAAAATGAAAAATAAAAGCATCCTGTACACTAATGTATCCTCCATTAAACACTGCACACTTAAATGAAATAACTGAAATATACATTATAAATTAAAATTAAATAACTTTACTTCAAACTCTAAAAATTATAGATTCTGATATTTTAGCTGAATCTGCAAAAGAGAATGATGAATGATAAACTGCAATTCATAGCATCACATTTTGTTTCAAGGATAGCAGTAGTCAGAATCATTTGCTTTGCTAGCATTAATAGCATACTAATTGCTTCCAAGCACTAGTAACAAGAGGCATTTAATAAATTCTAAGCAAAAATAAAGTAGGATATAATATTTGTGGGATGATAAAATAAGGTGAAATGATTGCATCAACCTATGGAAGTAAAAAAAAAAAAGAAAAGAAAAGAAAAGAAAAGCGCAAGCACACAGCAGGTTATTTCATTTTTAAAAAGCTGTAAAAATGTTGCCAATCAAGAGATATCTGTTAACCCATTAGCCGCTGGTGTTGCGTTGACACAACGGTCAAAATAAATGTGTATATAAATATAACTACCTAAGATATTTTATACCAGCAGATGATTTTTGTGTAGGGAATATTATGAAGATTATTTCTGTAAAAAAATATTTGCCTTCAACAATCATTTTGTTTATAATAACTAACCTCATACTTTAAGCAAAATTTTCGACCGGGTATTTTTGCTGAAAATATTTAACGAAAGAAACGCCATCTTTATGAGTGATCTGAGCACTGGAATAGGAGAATTATATAGAATATGAAGAAAGTAATTTTAGATACAGTCAAAAGTCTTTAATCTGGACATCCATAATCCGGACATCAAAGCTACAAACTTTCTGTGCATGCTTAAACGCATATACCTTTACGCATGCTCGTTTAATGTATAACGGACGGTATACGCTAAGCTAAAATTATCTAATTATCTATTTAAGTTAATGTTGCAGGTTGCATTGTTCCTTAATCTTCTACTTGGATCTGGCTTATTATTTTTTGCAGACTGTCAGAGCCATTTTATAAAAGTAAGCTTGAACTTCGATTATGTCAAAAAGAATTTCCAATTCTGGAGCTGCCAAAGGATCTACAAAGCGAAAGCATGTTTCGATGTCTATCAAACCAAAAGTGGAATTGCTGCAAAAAATGGATAAAAGCATATCCTTTGTTTCTCTAACCATTCCGAAATCTGTTTATCAATTTCACGCTGCTCTGTGGGCGGGGGGGGGGGGACGCAATGAACTGGGAGTTGATCTGTCAGCACTATCCTTATCTTCAGGGCAGATGATTTTATTTTATTCGGCTCATAATTCCTTACTAAATGTAGTATTTCATCTCGATGTACTCCGTCTTTGATATGATTTAAATCAAATTCCTAGTCATTATAAATATCACGAATACACATCAAATAGTTTTCTGGTTGCAATTTTCTAATTTCAACTATGCATAATGTATGCTTTATGCATGCGCGCATTGAAAGAAATGTTTAATAAAGTAAACAAATAAATATTAAGCTTTTTTTTTTTTTTTTTTTTTTTTTTTTTTAAATTTTGATACCCTTTAGATCATAATTGCTCTTTATTTCATAAATTACGGTTTCATATTTTTAATTTTATAATTTCTGCATGCCATCTTATCAGATTTAAACTGATGATCTATGATCCGGAATCGCCGGATTAAAGACTTTTGACTGTATTTAGCTTGTATAAATAAGCTAGGCTTAAAACTTTCATTGAATGCCACCCATACCATCACTCTTTTTACATTTTGGGCCCATACAAGGATAAGTAAGAATATGATAACTATAATAGTACAGTACACACGTAAATGAGGAGGATGTTATAAGCAAAATGCAGACATATTTAAAACAACGAAGTATGGATGCAAGTCAAATACACTCTAATCACTAACAGCCACTACCCCTTGCCATATGTATTTCATTCTTATTAAAGCCTGTATGAGAGAAGAGAATTAGAAAGCTCTCCTGTAATCAAAGGAATATATACAAGGTTCCATAATGACTATTTTGTATTCCCTGTAATAAATGCATTGGTTTGAAATGAACATACAGACATGTGAGCAGAGTGTTAGGCATGTTTAACCCTCTGCCGTTTTTGCTGTGAGAACACAAATTTTCTAATTTTTTCCTAAATTTAAATCTATTCATTCCGGAATGTTTGCATCCAAGTTTCAGATTTCAATGGAAATACCCATTTTGACTATGTTTTTGCATAATGTCTGCACATACGGACAGAACAAGAGACTCTTTATTCCTTTTTTTTTTTTTTTTTTTTTTTTTTTTTTTTTTTGAGCCACAGAATGTTTAAATTTTATACTTGGGACTGTTATACCATATACAGTTGTGCACCTCCCTTTCTTTTTATTAATATCGGCAATACCAAAAGTGTATAAACGTACAGGGTATTTCATATTGAATGGGATAAAAAGAAAGCACACCTGTGAACATGGTAATTACTTTATTTTGATGAGTCAAATTTAGTGAAACTATAGTTATCCAAGTAGATTATAGATATATTTTATAGATGTTCTACGTGCATGTTATATAGATTTCCAGTGACATAGCAAATATTTATGGGTATTCCAGTTCTTGGCACATTCATGATAAAATATTCTTCGGTAATGATTCGAGTGTTTGCTGTAAGTCCTGGAAAAACGCAGACACAAATACTTTGTTTTAACAATACTTCACTGGAAAAAACATATGGTGTTAAATCTGGGGATCTCAGTGGCCAACAAAACAATGGCCTATCGTTTGACCCAGCGTAGCCAATCCAGCGATGGGGTAGACTATCGTTCAGATAATGGCAGACATTTTAATGACAATGCGATGGAGCACCGTCTTGCTGACAGGTATTGCTTTATCTAAATGAGGGAACAACTACTCTGATAGCATATTTTTGTAAATGCACCCGTTAGTCAATTTTTCCAGGAAGAAAAAGGGACTGATAATATATAGCACAGAATGTGTTCACTTTGGAGAATCGCAGTCATGTTCCATTACACCAAGTAAATTATCCTTGCCCCTCCCCAAATCATAAATTAAGGCAATTAACTTTGCCAGAAACATGAAAAATGACTTCATCTGTAAACACAAGTCAGTTTGTGAAACCCTCTACCTTCCAGCTTATCTTGATAATTCTCACAGAAAGCTTTATGCAACAGTATGTTGGAAGGTTTAAACACCTGCACCATCTGAAAGGTGTATGGCCAGAATTGTAGATGTTTCTGTAACATGAACCACACTGTTACATGAGGAACCATTACAGAAAGATCTAAAACAGAGGATGCAAGATAAAACAAAAAAAAAAGGGGGGGATGTTAACATGTGTTATGATCCCCATCAAGAGTCATACAGCTCTCACAGTATGATTTCATATTGAAAATGTGGCAGTTTTTGAGTCACACTGGCACTCAGTCTCACTCCTGTAACAACACTTGTTTTATGTGCTGCAGGGTTTTGGATGGGAGAAAATGAACTGCAGTTGCTCATTCAAGACATTAACCCTCTACCAGGTTTAGATCTGGTGATCAGACTAGCAAATCATCTGGTTAATACCCTCACTTTCCAGAAAATCATCCACCAGATTAGCCCTATGTAAATAATTGTTGTCATCCAGAAAAAAAAAAAAAAAAAAGAACTGAACACCAAATGTAGCCCTAAAAAGGAAAACATAAGGTCTTTTCCCTATACCCTGTAGACATGGCAGTGTCTCAGTTAAAGACGTAAAGATCTGTGTGCTCATTTAACATCATGCCTGCCCAAACCATCAAACCTCTACTACTATATCCTTTCTCAGATGTTGTAGGATAGGTAGTGGGTCCCTATTTTCTCCAGATGAAAATATGTTAAGAGTCAGTAGCTAAGTGGAATTAGGGCTCATCTATGAGAATTGTCCCCAACTGTTGCTTGAACCAAAGGCAATGTTCTCTGACCAATGGACTCTCTTGTGTGCAGAAATGACCAGGTCACAAACAAAACTCTCTCACATAACCTAAAAATAGTAACCCTTGAAATTCTGCATTCTGTGACCACATAAGGTCACAAGAGATCTGAAAAGTTGTTGGACTACTGTTGTGCCCTGCTGATATGGATAAATATCCAGATGGATGTTTCTTCATTGTGGTTCTTGGGCAACACTTCTATGGTGTTTTCTCTAAGAATATGATATCCTTAAAACTCTTTCCGTAAGTTGCACATGATTTTGGGCATTACATTTAAGTTGTAAAAATCACCATGAAAGCCATCAAAAAGTGCCAATAAAGGCAGCACAGAAAATGTCATGTATGCTTTTAGTGACCCTTCTAATTTTACCCGAATGCATATTAAATTCATGTGTTCAACACTGAAGATTTGCATTTTTTTTGTTTGAAAACATAATTTGTAACTTTTGTCATTTTATTTTTTGATAAAATTGTCACAATATGATAATTTGCTTGATTCTGAACACAAGATATAATCCCATTCTCAACGAGAAAAATAACACAAAGAATGAAACTTATCAATGATATATCAAAATTAAAAGAATGGTAAAAATGCATATTTTTTTCATTACAATTAGTGTACTGCCATTTTTCACACTTCATTCACTATTATTATGAAGGTTGTTTTTGATTATTTATCAATGAAGTAAGAACTACTGGAAGTTCTGCCTCTAAATGGAATGAAAACTTTACTTTTCTCCAAAAAAAAATGAATTTACTGTCGGGAAAGTTGACTATAATTGCAACAAACAAAGCACAGCAGCAAAATGGGGGGAAAAGCATGAATTTATTCCACTACATAACTCATTCCTAAAAACTATCACGCTATATCACCCAAAAGGAAAAGATATACATAAAACTCACAACTTTCTACATAAAATATTAAAAGTGATAAAAATATAAATTTTATAAGTGCTGCTTCAGTGCAACACTAATTAATTAACTTTTACAAGAGGAGGATTTGAAATTTGATGATTTTACTCACACAGATGTGCAATTGCTTAGAAAAGGAGTAGAACTTGAATGGTTTTTGTTACCTCAGGTGAAGGAGTTTCTAATGTCCAGAAATGAATCTTGCTAACAATTAGAAGACAAAACTTGATTACTGGATCTTGGAATTTTTACTAAATTAATGGTAAAATTTAATGAATTAAATTTGAAACTGTAAGGCAGAAATCATCATACTGCTCATGATTAAGAGCACTATATTCATCTAAACTAGCACTACTGAACTGACATTTAATGCAAAAAACAATTTATCACAACTTCCAAATTTGAAAAACATTACTACAAATTTTCTATTGGGAGTCACATTTCTGCTGCTTATTTTACACAACACTTTGAAACAATTCTGCATTGAGTATATATTTGTTATATAAGTACATATAAGTTTACATTTGGGACTTTCTAAACTGGATTCACTTTTCTCCTTTTACAGATAAAAACATAACTGTAAAATTACAGCCTTACTTCAAATTAGGAGCAAATAGAAATATGAAATAAGAAAAATGGCATAATTTTAAAATCATACAAGAAACAATTCTTGTTGCTCATTAGTTTATTCAAAAATTTTTCTTTGGTTTATTCTTTATATCAACTAACTTTTACTAAAAAAGCATATTCTAAAAATGTACATTTCCTAGTTTTTACTAGTCTTGTGACCCCCCTTTCACATGAAGCATTTCAGATCCTGAAGTACAGAGTACAATTTTCAATTCACATTTAAACAATCTGCTTAAGTAGCAGAAATTAGTCAAACACCAGATTACAATAAATCAGCCAAAGATATGTAGTGTCAAGTGTAATATTAATGTTTTCTCACATAAACAAACGTAAAAGCATCTATTTCTGAATATTATAAGTACCTAACATTATTAATTGAGTTTTGAATAAACAGACTTAAATATGCACTGGAACACATCTTCAGTTCACACCCTCTTCCATAAAATTATGGTAAAGTGCACTTTGTCGTAAACCTGTTAATTTGGATTGTTTATGCTATAACGATTGCAAGCAACTGTATTAAAAAATTTGGTTCATTAAATTAGTGTCACATGCATTATATATAGTTTACAACATAAACAGTTAAGTTAAAAAAAAAAAAATCTATCTCATATTTAAGAAAAACGTGTACAAATAAAATGTCTTACTTTATTGTAAGCTGCAGAAGTGGCTGAGCGTGCAGAATTGCTATTATCCATGTAAATTTTTACTTGATTCTCACCCATTCTGGCAGAAACAGAAGGGGCAGCAACAGAGAGCTGTTTTTTTGGCTTTTTCGGGGCTTTGTACCTAAATGAATGAATGAATTATGGCTTATAAAATTAAACAATCTTTTAAGAAAAAGGGGGGGATGAATTTAAAAGCATTTGTCAGGAATACTGAAGAAGAAAAACACATATGGAGTTAAAACTTAATTTAAAACAACTTGAAATAATCTTTGCTTATATGCTAAAAAACCATTTGCTAACGTTGCAGCTTTCACTTGCACTCCATTTACTCCGTCAGCTGGAATCCAAATGCATAACTTGTTCATATTCATTTTCTTTTACTGTAGTATACAGCTGATACTTCTGAGAACTGATATCCAGATGAGAGCAGATTAAAATGATGGTCTCTATAGCAGCATGATCTTGTGGATATTTCAACAGCTTCTCTACTTTTAGACTACTTAGGTGCTTATGATTCTCTCTTTGATCATTTCAAATACTAAGTCTGGATGTTTTAAGGGGTATTTTAAAATTGTTATAAATCAATAAAACACCAAAAGTTGAACATTCTAGGTAAAACATTCTTTAGAATGTACAAACTCATTGATTAAATAAATCAAAACTAGAATTATCAATCAACTCCAGCAAAAAAGAAGCCTTCAAATTGGAGAAGCAGCCCAAATCACCACAAAACCTTGTTGCAATATTCTCTTAATATGGTCAGTTTTTAAAAGTACACAATCCCGCATGAAACAGCAATAAAAATGAAATTACAATAACTGATCAAGACATTCATTTGGATTCTAGCTGAAAAACTCTAATCTAAGCAATGTTTTAACATGATTTTCATATCCAATTTACGATTATTTTATTTTTCACTTACTACAATAAACTATTTAAAAATTACACACCTAGGATACTGTGGCCCACAGAGAGTATGACAAACATTTTGCACAATCCCTCGAGAAAAGGGATTATATCCACCACGAAATTTTCCAGTTACCTAAGTTTAAAAGATGACAATAATTGTGTAATTAATACCAAACACTGCAATATTAGTACACACAATAAAATATTTCTCAGATTTAGATCTGAAAGCGCAAAGAAATTGCACACTTTTTAAAAGTATCATCAAGTGAATAAATTACATTAGCAACACTAACTTTAATTAGAAATTCCATCAAAAATGAAAACCAATTTCATGATGTCCTAAAGTTAGAATTCCAAAAACCTCATTTGAAGTTTTTAGGAAGTTCAACTGAAGACGTGGTCACAATAGGTAAGAACTCTAAATAAACTTGAAGAGTCGGAAACAATTCATTTCCCCAAAATAATATGCTTGCAGTCCTTTGCTGATACAGCCAGCCAATGAGAACTGCAAGACTGCTAAATATCAATACATTAAGGTTCCTAAAATATATCCTAATTTCATTTTACAGACAGACAAATCAGAATGCACTCCTTAAAACTACATACTTCTGGAGAAACCCTAAAACCATAATTCATCCCTATAATCCTCAGAAAAATATACAGTAAAAAAAGCACTGCCAACTTTTAATATGGAAAATGAAACAAAAATCATCATTTCATTAGTTTTAATTATAAGGTAGATTTACTTTATACTATTTTTGGTAGCAAAAACAACATAAATAAAAGTATTTAGTTAACTATTTAGATAGTTAGTTTTGTGATTAATGTAGTATTAAAAACTTGTTTTGAATTTTTATTTTTAGAACAAGATTTGTTCTGCGAGTCAAAAAATAAGCCTTCCTAAAGTTCTGCAGAAGATAGTTTGCAGGCCTCTGCCATAGCCTGTTGTCTGCCTTCCTTCTAAAGGATACAAATATTAAAAAGTAATTGATTTTTGGGAGTAATGCTCCAAGAAGAGTTAGGCTTTTGCTTATCCATTGTATCTGAAAACATTGCATTTTTGTCACAAAATAACTCTTTTGTGGACTTCTCATTATATCAGTTTATAAAACAGCATTGTTATTGACTAAGGCTTTGGATTTTTCTCCTTATAAGAACACCTGCCCAAAACAATATTCTAGAAAATGGTATGTGCCCCAAAGTTGCCCATCAATCACTACTAAATTAAGTGTATTGTTCTCATCCCTTACATCAGTATTTTTGTTTTAAAAGTTTTAAACCCTTTCCTGAATTCCCTCTTTAGACACTGAAAATAATCGATAAATATCACGAAAACTACACTAATGGTTACTTTTAATCTCTTTTATGTATAATAGATGGCAGCATCACACAAGCAAATCATTAACGTTGAGATATAGTCTGTTTCTAAAGACACTGATTTTTCAAAGAAATATTTCAGATTTTTTATATAAAGAATATCAATAAAAAAATCTTTATATAATTTTGTTGCTTGTATGCTAATCTGCCTATTCTGTATTACTTTTAATTTTTATCTTTGAAATATTACATAGAGTGAAGCCTTCAGTGTATGGTGCATTCGGACTGAACACACTGTACTTCTAGTGCCTGTCATGTGGGAGTCACAGAATCTGGTCTCATGTTTCAAACACAGGGAAGGCTGAAAGTGCAGATTTATTTATATTTGTTTTTATTCTTTTCTGTTTTGGGTTTTGAAGACCCCCGGTTTTCAATTAGCTATTTGATTTTCAGCGAGAGCAGACACTTTTTTTCTCTTGCTTTCATCGTGCACAGTTTGCTTAATTTTGATTTTGGTAGATTTTTATTTGCATATATATTTTAATAATTATTTTTCTAGTCAATAATTAATTGTAAATATCATAGTGTTTTAATTATTTTTCTTATAAACTTTAAAATTGTGTAAGTGGCTCAGAGAGGCCTCAGCAATGAGAGTTTCCTTTTTTCCCCCAGTTTTTTTTGGGGGGGGTGTAGAGTAGCAAGCCTCCCCTTGGTGCACCCTGGGTTATGCTAAATCTGCTACAGAGATCAGATTCTACTGTTTTTAAATCACAGAGAAAGCATTTTACTGTAATACGTGCTTCACAGCAATGCTTACCTATCGCAGCTCGTGCGGCTCAGTGTGTTCGCTTCGGACACACCCACAAAATGGAAACGGTTTGTGCAATCTTTGTAAAATTACACCTGCATACACTCCTAGGCCTAAATAGACTGCCTACAAAATTTTTTGGTAAAATTCCAACTTTAAAGAGTAGCGTGCCAGAAAGGGTTAAGGCTTAATCTGTGTTGGCTTATCAAATATTTCTTAGAAATATTTAGCAAAATTTTATTGCAGTCCTAAATTAGCTGATTAAAAAATTAATATTTCCTCAATTAAAGTATCAAATTAGCACATCTAGCTTTTTAGAGAGAATTGCTCCCCACATGTTGTTCTAATATAAAAGGTGAAAGATTTCTTTATGGAAAAATTAAGAATGATGTCATTTGAAAGTTTTAGATCATTTTGTTAGATTACTCAGAAAGGAAAATAAAATCATAGCAACTTCACACACACTAACTTCAAAAATGAATAAATTTAAATTTTTTTCATAAATTAAATTATATTTAATATTTTAAACAAAAAACAAAAGCAAATATGTAATATACAGTCAAACAAAAAAACAAAAGCCCAATAAGTAATATACAACCAAAGAAACAGAAGCCTAATAAGTGATATGCAGTAGATGTTTCATACCTGCTCATTAGTAGTTCTACCTCTACATAAAAGAACAATGTGAAATCCAGTTAATCCATAAATAGGTATGAAAAGTAATGTGATGATAACTATAATCACCATACTAAAAGGAAAGTCAAGGAATCACACACTTAGTATGAGAGCATAAAACAAACTACATATTACTGCATTCATATCTGAATTTTTAAGTATACAAACTCTCTAAAGGTCAAAAATGTACTTCACGTAATTTTATTATCAACCCAGATACTTCTGGTTGATGGCAAAAGACACTAGACTGCATTTAGTTATTTACCTAAAAATTTCTTATTTTGCATCTAATTACACACCAATATATAACATATTTTTAGGAAAAATAGTAAAATGTGAGCTTGAAAAGGATACGTAACAATGGTGTCCCTGTGTTGAAGCTGATCACGATGTTTTAATATGTACACGATACAAAATGAAAAAATGGTTGCCATATGTACACTAAGAAATACCAAAAACAGAAAAAAATAGCGATAATTTCTTCGTCCTATACAATTATTTACCCATGGACAATGATGATCAAATGTCTGAAAGATAAAATAATTGGAATTATTGGTAACATTCATTCAATTATAAAAGCGAACTTATGCAAGAAATATTACACACAATAAAAGTATTGAATAACAAATTCTTCTGAGACATATCAACAGTAAAAGCTTGGCTTCTATTATGATTGTACATTTATGAAAGATAAAAGAAAATAAGAAATTTTCTTTGGTGTAAATTCTTTTACGTATGTTGAAGAATCATTAAGGACAAAATTAATTACATCATAATTCAATGCAATATATGTATATATCCTAGGAATTTTGTTGATTATAATTACCATTCAATAAAAATAAATTAATAGATATCAAAAGATGAAAAATAGAAGAAATGAAAATATTCCTGAAAAAGAAATGTGCATTTTAACTACTTTAAGAAATAAACACATGCAATGACAGGCAAATTTATAACACACAGATACACAATCTAAAAAATAAATTCATCATATTACTCATAACCAGAGCTCAAATTGCACCAGAGTTACAGCTTAGTTTTTGAGATAAATCATAAATCTAGACGAAGCACACCGGAGACCTAAGCAAGAAGGCTCCAGCACTTCTTTTATGTAACCGGAACAACAATTTCAGTAGAAGTTTGATCTTGAAAATTTTATTTTTTGCAATAAAATTATAAAACTCGCTTATTAAATTTTAGTTTATCTCTATATATTTTATTTAATTTTAATTATTTAAATAATTAATTGATTAATTTTTATTAAATTAAAATAATAATTATTAATTAAATATTAATTGATAAATATTAATTATTAATATAAATTAAATAAAGATGAATTAATTTTATAAATTAACTATTTAATTTTAAAATTATTAATGATTTTCATAGTCATTTTATTTATTTATTTACTTTTGTTTCTCTTTACTGATAGCCTTCCATAGGGCTCCAGCACTTCTAATTTTAGAAATTAAGCCCCTGCTTATAACAGTCACTGCTTATATTTTGCCACTCCTTATATGGAGTCTTGCAATGACTTTTAAAAAATATATTAGCACAAGTACTTCAATATAACGTAGGAACTCTAGATAATAGCACACACAATTAAATTACCTCTATGCATCCATTGCATACACTACAATGAGAGCATCTTGGTGGTCTATAAAACTGGCATGTTACACACCATTTCATGCGAACATGGATTCCATTTATCTCAAGATTTTTATATAATGGAGCACGGAAATCATCCTCTTTATCTTCATCAGCAGTAGCTAAAATAAAAACCACAAATTAAACACATCCACACACATACGTACATATAGTATATACATGGACATATATATGTATACAAAAAATTATGAAATTTTCAAATTAAGATGATATATACCAGTGTTTCCCAAAGTGTGGTACGTGTACCCCCAAGAGTACAGGTAGAGTTTGGTGGGGGTACCCATGACACCGGATTTTGGTGGGGATATGCACTGCACCGTGCTTATCTGCACCTAATTCTACATTCTCATGAGTTAAATCAAGACAGTTTTGTAAGGTGTGAAATAAACCGGTGTGACAAGGTGGGAATATACCACACTTCGTTACAAAGAAAAATTACTTCATTAACAGTTAGTGGGTTCTCCAGGCACATGTGTATTTTTAGCTTTTGTGCAATTTTTCTTACAGGAAAAGTTTGTTATGTGCTTCAGTAAGTCTCACTTATTTTGATTATTTTTATTAAATATAATTTTTATCCCTAACATACGTTATGGTTCACTGGTTGAAATCGGGAACTACTACACGGAAAGAAAGTAATGATTATAGTAACAATCAAATAACAGGAAATAATGAAATTAATGAAGAATCAACTTCAATTCTGAAAGAACTTGTTAAGAAAAAAGGAAGGAAAACTCACAAGTACTACAAAGAATAAATTAAATTTGGATTCTCATGGATTGGAGATGAAAATGAGCCTGTTCAACTTTGTGTCATTTGTTTTGAAAATCTAAGAAATGAAAGAATGAAACTATCCAACTTAAAGTGCCATTTTGAGACAAACCATAATCAGTACAAAGATAAACCCACAGATATTTTTGAAAAAAAAAAAAAAAAAAAAAAAACTTAAGTATTTAAATCAGTTTCGAAAATAATGCGGGGTTTGACAGGAAGTGACAATAAAAAAATACTAGGAACTTCGTATCACGTGTTCCTTTTAATGGCAAAATATAGTGCAGCGGAAACCACTGCCGAAATTTTAATTGAGCCTGCAGCCAAGATAATGGCAGAAGTACTGATACGAGATAGAGCAAAACAAACTTTTGACCACGATTCCCTCTCAAATAATAGAATTAATCGACGTACCATTGATATAGTTTGACCGCCTCATCTGCGACCATGAGCGCAAACACGCATGCGCAATTCGGACCAAATTAGTCTCAAAATAGGGTGGAAGGATGGGGACATTCTCTTCCTCCAGCACAGCTCTTTCCGAAGAAGACCTTTCACGTCACAGCAAGTAATACCACCCCTTTTGGGCGAGTCTATGTGTTTTGGCAGAATGCCAACCAGGGTTGCACTTGAGATGGTCGAACTATATGTCCAATAATGTGAAACAGATGTTATTATCTGATATTTCTCAAAGTCATTATTATGCATTGCAAGGTCGATGAGTTCATTGATATTGCAAATTCTGCAAATCTTATGGCATTTGCCAGATACGAAAAAAATCAATAAATTCATGACGACTTTTTATTTTGCCAGCCTTTATTAGGTCACACAAGATGAGAAGATATTTTTAATGTTATGAATAAATTTATGCAAGAGAACAAAATTGATTGGAATAGATGTGCTGGAATAAGCATAGATGATGCAAAAAGTAAGGACTCATTGCAAGAATTCAAAATGTTATCTCAAATGTCATATCCACACACAGTTGCATACACAGAGTGGCTTTGGCAACCTGTAAGATGCCTACTGATCTACAGAAAGTTCTGGATGAAAGCATGAAAATCGTTAACTTAAAAACCGGCCTTTGAATGCACGACTTTTTTTCGCAAATATGTGAAGAAACAGAAAGTAGTCATATCCAGCTTCTTTTTCATACCGATGTTTGTTGACTATCTCGAGGAAAAATTCTAAATTGATTGTTTGAACTTAGATATGAACTTCAATGCTTTTTTAATGATAGATTTGAGTTGAGAAATTGTTTACATGGCTTTGTAAACTAGCATACTTAGCAGATATATTCTCTGTTTTAAATTGCCTCAAGTTATCATTACAAAGCAAAGAAATTTCACTGTTTCACATTCCAGATAAAGTGAACGCTGCCATTGCAAAACTAAATTTATGGCAAAAGAGAGTTGGTAATGGAGAAGTAGGCTCATTTATTTTCTCTTGAGTTTATAAGAAGTTCAATTACTAAAATTGATGCCGATACTCTGAAATAACACTGCATATGGAGGGTTTGCAAGTGGGCTTGAAAAACTATTTCCCTGATTTAAACAAAAATACTGAATGGATAAAATATCCATTTAACATAAACATAACATCCATGCCAGAAGATTTGCTGCATGCGGAAGAAGAGCAATTGTTAAAACTGGCTGCTTGAGAAATAAACATAAGGAGGGTACTTTAACATTATTCTGGTTACAAATGCAACATGTGTATCCTGTTTAACAGAAAAAGTTCTAAAATACATCTTATTCACACACACTCATATTCGCAGCCATAACACGTCAACGTGACGCATACACAGAAAGTTTGTAGCTTTGAGGTCCGGATTATGGGTGTCCAAATTAACGACTTTTGACTGTATCACTTTATTATGTTTTATTATTTTATTGAATTATGTTTTAATTTTGATTTGAGTATTTTCTTCTGGAAAATTGCCTCTTTTCTGTGATTTAAGTATTATCTCTTGATACACATATACGTATAGACTTTTTTTTTTTTTTAAGCAGCATGAAAAAATTATTGTTTTTATTGAAATTAAATATACTTAGATCTCACACACAGGTAGTGAAATTATTAAAAATTCAAGGCCATAGACCTATGCACTAGCAACTGCACACTGAATGTTCTAATCAGTAAGTGGTGAAACCTCTCCTCGCAGCAATAAATACTTGTAAACGCCGAGTTCAGGAGTGATAAAGATTCATAATCTCATACCGTGATGCATTCTGCAAGGCATTCCTCAGTTGTTGCTCCAGATCTGCAACATTTTGGGGTGCCCAAATCAGATGGCCTACTATACCCTATATATATTCGATTGCCCAAAAACTTGGTAACCTTGATCGACAAGGATGAGAATCAACAGCCTTCACAGATATGCGAGTGATATGGTGTCTAGCATTATCCTGTTGAAAAAGGGCTCCAAGATGGCATTCCATGAAGGATAATGCAAATAACTATAGGATGTCATCAATATATTGTTGAACTATTAAAGTGGTAGGCAAGATGACTAGGGTTGACCTGCTGTTGTAACATATAGCACCCCAACATGATTGTTGGAGACGGCGGCTGCAGACAGACGATTACATAACGGCTCGGCGAAGGTCAACAGAAGGAGCGCCGCATCTGATTGGACTATTTTTTATTATTCTTATTTTTCCTTTAACTGCGAACTAAGCGGGGAAATTCCCTTTTCACTCAGTTATATGTATGCACTAGTTAGAGTAATGTAACGTTTTCAGCTTTGTAAGACATATTAAATCTTTATATTAATAATCCCTGCTGTGATTATTTAATTTGTAACCTGCATGTTGTAGCCCTGAGAGTTGCAACATAGTAAATTTGGCGTCTGCTACTTTATATTTTTGATGAAATATGGATATAAAAGTTTTGAAAGCAAAACGGAAGTTGCTGAGAACAGCGTTTATGGTATGCTGCAACAATATAGCTCAGAAGATCGAAAACAAAAGTTTAGGAAGTGACAAAGTCAGTACATTGTTTCGGCAGATTCAAGACAAATTCACACGTTTGGAAACAACTCAAGAAGAAGTTTCGAATTTGTTGCTGAGTGATGATGCCCTTCAAGAAGAATATTCTGAAGATTTTTTGAAAGCAGAAGAATACCGTGACAAGTTCTGCTTGATCTGTTCGCTGTTAGAAAATGCAAAGAAGGCAAATTCGGTTACGGAAGGAACAACAACGAGCAAAAAAAAGGAAATTTAGTGGAGAACCGAAAGACTTTCTTGCCTTTTGGTCCCAGTTTGAGAAAATCCTATTGTTGATGAAGATAAATTTCAATATCTTTTACAATGTGTGGTAGCAGATTCTAAAGCGTCAAGACTCATAACCAGTTTTCCACCAACTAAAGAAAACTATTTAAAGGTCATCAGACAACTTAAAGAACGCTTCGGGAGAGATGAACTTTTGGTTCAGATTTTATGTACGGGACCTACTTTCCATAGTAATGAAAAATGCTGCTGGTAGAATTAAAGTAGATTTAGCTGAACTTTATGATTTACTTGAGAGCAAGCTTATGGCACTGGAAAGTCTCGGTAGAACTAAGGAAAAATTTGCAGAATTTTTGGAACCACTTGTTGAGTCCTGTTTACCTGAGGCTGTTCTTCGTGCGTGGGAAAGAAGCCGCTCGATGGAAGATACTGTGTCACAGCAAGATAGTGCGCGTTCGTTGGATAAACTTTTGTGCTTTCTTCGAAATGAAGTGCAAAGTGAGGAAATGATTAAGCTCGCTCGTACCGGGTTGGGCTTCACGTTCTGCACATTCGCGTCCCCATTGTGATGATCCAGGTTGCTCTACAGCTGCTGCCTTGGTAAATGTTCCAAGACAATACAGGTAGGCGAAATTTACGTTGTATTTTTTGTGAGAAATCCCACAATTCTGCCGAATGTTTTTCTGTTCGCAAAATGTCTTTAGAAGATAAATGAAAGATTTTGGTGCAAAAGCGCGCCTGTTTCGCTGCCTACGAGTTGGACATAGTTCACGGGCATGCAAAAATAAAGTAAAATGTTTAACATGCGATAGATTTCACTATACCATTATGTGCTCAAATGGCGACTCTGTAAAGCCAAATGAAACTGACAGTACTCTTATTTCCAGCAATGTGTTGTTTAAACAGTCAACTGTTAATGAAAATGTGTATTTGCAAACACTTGTTTTAAAAATGTCTTTAGAAGATAAATGAAAGCTTTGGAAGATAAATGAAAGCCTGTTTTTGCTGCCTACGAGTTGGACATAGTTCACGGGCATGCAAAAATAAAGTAAAATGTTTAAGATGCGATAGATTTTACTATACCATTATGTGCTCAAATGGCG